CAAGAAAGCGCTCTTTCTCCTCCATACTCTCACGCCTCCGCTTCTCGCGCCTCTCACCTAGCCCCATCCCTCTTCCACGGACGGAAGAGCTTCCTGCGTTTGTAGACAACGTCTTGCCGTCGATGCTCGTTCACCTGGGCGTGATCTCGCTTTCTGAGGCGAGGGACGCAAGGTTGAGAACTGCTTTCGGAGAGATCGACTCGGCGACACTGCTGGAATTGCCTGCATCGGACGACCGAGGGAGGGCGGAAGAGGAGTCTTCCCTTGCGCCGAAGCCAGGACCAACCCTTACTCCCTCCCAAGTCGCAAGCCTCCGTGCAGCCAGCATCACAGCACTCGATGCCTTCGCTTCCCGTGCACATGTGCTCAAGCTGGACCTGAACGGAGCTGGAAGCGGCGGAGCCACGGCTGTGGGTCTAGATGGATGGCTTTGGAGCGCGGCCAAGAAAAGGGAAGACTGGCGGGCGTGTGAGAGGTTTGTAGAACGCGAACCGGAGGTGTTCTTTTGATCCGTGTCACAAAAGGAAGGGAAGAGTCTGTCAAAGAATGAAGAGATAGTGTCAAGGATGTGGTGAGGACACACGGTTGTAATAATATACCACGTTCTAAACTCATGATGCATGGTTTGTAGGACCAGACCAATGTCCTGATCTGGTTTCTCCATCCCTTCACTCGAAGAAGCAGGGTCAGAGATGATGATATAAGTTCACCTCCATCGCATACCTACCCATGCACCCACATATACTCTACCCCCTGTGCCGCCCAATATGGCTGAGCTGCCCTGCGCGGTATGTCTCGCTTCCAAGATGGATGCTCAGTGGTCATCTCAATGCTACCTGAAGCTCGCCTATCTCTTATCTTCTGCATCTCCAATCCATCTCACCCCACAAGGGCTCTCATATTTGAGTTGCTGATCTTTGGCTATGGCCGGCCGAAGAATGCCAGAATCTGCTGTGACTGGTCGAACAGAGTTCCGAACAAGGTCTCGTATCATCTGTTCACTTATATTACGATCAAGGTCGGGCGGAGTCATTCCCAACTTGACGTTGACTTACTGGCATCTGCACGAAATTGGCATCAAGTTTCTGTATTCCCGAGGGGTATCTTCTCCAATCGTCATGGAACGCTATTCCGGTACAACCACGGGAAAATGGATTCATGCTTCGGAGTACGCACTGCTGAAGAGCAAGGTGATCAGAGATGTCAAAGTCCTCTGCGAAGAACGAGCAACCTCTGTCGTTTTGGCTTCTTGTCGACCCTTTCTTTTTTTGCGTAGTTTCTCGCCCTGGATATGACTCAAGCTGTTGTCACATTGCTCATCGGCATTCCGAGTTTATCATCTCTCTCTCCGCCGTTGCAATCTTGACAATGGTGCCCCCCTGTCTCCCATGCTTTACAACAACATCCGATGAGCCTCCGACGCCTCGAATTTTACACGCTGACGGTCGTGGCTGGAGGCGGCTCGCAACCGACGTCAGAGGGATCGCACTCCAAGCTCTTATCATATTTTGGACAGTATGCCTTGGCCGTCTCTCGAAGCCCGGAGGAAGCCCTCGATTCAAGCGAACATGGTATTCGATACTTTGATCCTGAGCCGAGTCGTCAACGCAACGCTCCAGTGTATGAAGTGCAGCGCACTAGCAAGAACAAGAGCCAGAGCGAGGGGGGTCATGAAATGGGAAATGGCAAGCTAAACTTCGCTGAGAAAACTGGGGCAAGATGTTGACTTGATTTTGTTGAGATGTCGAACATCTGGAGTTTGGTAACTTTGGGGGAGGGAGAATGGTTCAGCCTCCTAGGGTTTACACGAACTTCCGATAGACTATTTCCGTACCCTGATGACTCGGTACGCTTAGAAAATACGATTACATTTCATTATAGCTCGGGAGACGGCAAGTGGTGTCGTTAGTACATTTGCAGGTAGAGTACAGTCCGATACGAATACACATTTGAGTTCAAGTTTGAGTTCAGGTTGATGCGCAGGTGTTTGACTTATAGTTAAGCCGTGCCGGTTGGGGGGTGACGAGTGCTTGCGGTCTTTCCTGCTTTCGGATTCCGTTCCCTCCTTGCGAGTTAGAGTGATAGTTCGAGTCGAGTTGTTCAAGAGTTTGAGTTTGAGAGTTTGAGCGTTTGGGTGCTGAGAGGTGGGAAATCATTCTTTGGAGAATGAGAGTGAGGATTCAACTTGGGTTATTGGACGACTTGGGCTCAGTGCTTGGTCGAGGGTTCGAGGGTTTAAGCGTTTGTTGGTCCGAGGGTTGGATGGTCCGAGGAATCCAGTTTCAGGGATTGAGAGGTCGAGCATGCATGTTCCAAGTTTGACTCGATCGAGTATCGGAGGATCCTAGGATTTGTCCGTCCGTCCGTCCATCCGTTCATCTGAGCGTAGCGAGCGTTCCGAGGGTTTGAGAATCCAAGATCCAAGATCCAAAGAGTCCAGTTAAGTGCCAAGAGAGGAAGTGTCCGATCGATTTCGCTGCAATCCTAAAGCTTATCGGTTGGGAGCTGAGACTGCTCCTTCCGGGGTTACGGGTACGGGTAGGATGGGGTAGGTCGGGTAGGTCGGCATGAGGAGGGGCAAGGAATTAGGCGTAAGAGGTTGTCCAGTTGCTCACAAGTCGGAGAGCGGACGAGTTGGAGTTGGAGTTGGAGTTGAGCACGTCTGTTCAGGGGAGGATCGAACGGGTATGATCCGATAGTCGATTGTCCATCATTCGAGGAATAGTCACGAGAGTTCAGTTCAAGTCCGATGTCCGAGCGCCGGGAGCTGATGCCGAACCGAACCAAGAGGAGACGAGAAGCACCAGCCGAGAGGGTTGTCACAGAAGGGAAAGAATCAGCGGATCACAGCTTCGTCCGCCCATTTCCCAAGTGCGCGACTCGGTCTCCCATCCCATCCCATATCCATGCCCATGCCCATATCCGCCTGCACCTGCATCTGCATCTGCGCATGGGGCATGAACTGCCTCTGAACCAGCCTTTTCCCCGATATCGGTATCAGAGGTCCTGTTTCCTCCCGCGAGGTATCCACCAGCTGGGGGTCGACATCTTCCTCCCTCCCCCTTCCCCTCTCCCTCGTTCTTGCCTTCCCCTTCCCCTTCCCTCTCCCTCTCGTTCTGCCTCTTCTCTCATCCCTCCCGGGTCCGAACTGCTCTCCCGGGATATGCACACCCACACCCACACCGACGCCAACGCTGACAGATTCCCGCTGTACGTTCTCTGTCGAGAGGGCGAGGGTGGGTCCAAGTCTGGGCGAGAGAGGGAGGGAGAACTTCGTCGTCGTCGTCGGGGAAGAAGGGCGAGGGGTGGAGGGGAGCCGGGTTCTTGGCTTTGGGGGAGTTAGGGGACTTGGGGAGGGTGGGGAGGGAGCGGAGGGAGGGAGTGGAGGTTCAGAGGAGGGGGATTTGGTGCTTGGTTCCCCTATCTCTCTTCCCACCGTTGGCCCTGCCCCTATCCCAGCCACAGGGGGGATGAAAGGATCCAACCCCGGTGCAAGGGGCACAGAGGGCGAGGAAGAGGGAGAAGGAAACGAGGGGAAGGAAGGGAACGAACATTCTTGTTCGTTCTTGATCTTTAGCGGGGAGTCTTCGACCCTGCTTGAGAATACGATACGGATGTTGGGTTGGAGGTGGATGTGCGGTTTGGGGTGACGAGGGGATGGGAGGGGGGATGATGCGCCTGAGGAAGAGGCGGAGGAGGAGGAGAGAGGGGAAGAAGGGAGTTCGGGCATGTCCATCTCCTCCCCCTCCTCGTCGCAGGTAACCCCGAACTGCACGGCATACTTCAGCACCCCTTCGGCGTACAGTGTCTGCCTGACGATTGCCCGTCCTCCTGGAGGCAGATGTCGCACGTCGTAGGGTACGAGAAAAGCGCGCAGAGGCTGGAGTTCGGGGTTGAGCAGTAAGAGCTGGAGGGAACCCTTCGGTGGTAAAGGGAGTCGAGGGAGGGGGATAGGGAGGAGAGCGACGTAGGGCGTCGGAGTTGGTATCGGGAGAGAGTAGAAGGTCGGGTTGAAGGGTATTGTGAGTGCTTTAGAGGGAAGACGAAGACGGGCTGTGAATTTGGGTTGGAGGGTGTGAGGTGCTGGGATACGAAGGGAGAGGAGGGAGGATGACCATGAGCCTGGTAGAGGGTGGGCGTGGGTGGGAGTGAGGGAGAGGGGGGAGCGGTATGCAGGTGGGGCTGATGATGAGATTGTGATGGGAGTAGAAGGGAGTGGAGTAGGTGGGCGTATTGTACACATCTCTAGCAGGGAGAGAGGGAAGAGAGAGATGCCTGCGTGCATGCATCGTGTGGATAATGTATGACATCACGTGTACGGAAGCAGAGTTTAAGTGTTATGTCCGTTCCGCTTCCCTCAATGATCGGAATGACCCTGACTACCGGTCACTAGAAGAGGGAAGAACATCTCCATCTCTGTTCTCTCTGTTTCATTCCCATCTGTTATACCCCCAAACGCTCTCTCACTCATTCACGACCTTCCTCCCCTCTCTCTCCCCTCTCTTCCTATGGACCCCCTTCTCCAACCTTCTCATCCTCTCGCAGAATATCTAGCTAGTACGTACATCCTCCTCATCCCCATCCCTCACTAACACAACACAGACACCGACCCACCACACGAACCTACCTCTCTTCTCCCAGGTTACTTCACTTGGAACTACCCATGTCCCCACGTCCAGCATCCGTATGCCCATATCATCCTCCACCAACTACACGACCTCCACCGGTACATCCTCTCATGCCTCCCTTACATACCCGAGAATAGCACAGCAGAACGACTAAAGTTCCTCGTCATATCCAGCTCATTACTCGAATCTCACCTACCTAGGAACGCAGCTGCGACAGCATCGGCAACCGCACCTGCTACACCAAGAGCGGACCACCAACCCCTCTCCGAGCCGTCAACACCGCGCTTCGCTCCCCAATGCACACCATCAGCCCCCCCATGCCCAAGGATAGGCATTTGGCTCACAGCCTGCGTCGGCGGCGCATGCGCCCTCTTAGCAGGGAGCGGAACTGCCTTCGTCATCCTCCAACTCCTCTGCCTAGGGTGGGGTATCCTCTCCCCCCCGGTTCGCGCACACCGGCGCTCTCCATCCACCAGCAGCACTCTGAGCAACAACTCCAACTCCCAAGATCAGGAACAGGAAGAGTCTCACCTCGTGCTAGGGTCGGTGGACGCACTCGTCAGAGCTACCGAGCAGTGGGATACGAACGTCTCTAGCGCACTGGACCTGCTCGAAGCGGACGAATCCTCCCTCTCCTTTCCCAGTGGATCACCCGCACAGGGGACGAACGACCCTACCTCAGCACTGCGCGACACCTTGCGTCATTTCCTACTCTCCTCGACCCAGGCTGCAGAACACGTCCGCACATCCCTCGCCCCGCTTACGGATACCCAGACTCTGACACAGCTAGGGGTGATGTATGCTCCTCAGGCTGATGTCCCAGGGAGTGCGCTAGGGGAGGGAGGGGACTGGGGAAGAGACCCAACCCCAAGGCCAAGGAAGAGGAACACACTTCCTCTCCCGCTGATGCTCGGCTCTCCCTTACAGGAACATCCCAGGAGCCCGCAGAGTCTTTCCAAGCTCCGCACACGGCCGACCCTCTCAACAGCAGGATTAGGCCCGAGCGTTTCCTTTCCCCTTGGACTGCGGGAACTTGCTGAGCAGGAAGAGCACGTTCAGGGACAAGTGGTGCTACTCGAGACTGCTCACACTGGGCAAAACGCTCTGCCAACACCGTTCACCTCCCCCGTTGCCGTTGCGGGTCCTAGCGCCCCACACTCGCACTCGCATACACGCACGCACATGCCTTCCCGGACTCCTATCTCCCCCTCCTACTCCCCCTCCCCCACCCACACGCCCAGGTCCTCCACCCCCTCCCGTGCCCGCCGCACCCACTCCCTAACCAGGTCAAGATCCGATCTCCAAAAGAGCGCACGGCCGGCAACTGTCGGCCCTTCCTCTGCCCGTTACTCGGGAGTGTTGGGATCCGCATTCGCGGATTTCCCCCCTCCTTTGCCTGCTTCCTCTTCTGCTTCCCCTTCCCCTTCCCCTTCCTCTACGTCCGCACGCCCACTCCGGAGGATCCGCTCCCAGACCCTATCCCTACACACTGCTACCCCTTTCCAACCGTTCTCCCTCCCCTCCACCCCAATTCCCAGACGTCGCCGCCCATCGATAGCCCAACGACTCCGAGCGCCTCTTTCCCTCCGCTCGCTCTCCTCTCTCCTAGCACGAACGCTCCAAGCCCGCAGGTGGGCCGCAGCGCACCTCCTCGCTCTGCGGGAACCTGCGCGCCAGGCCTCCGGAGGAGGAGGGAGCAGGCGGGTCTTCCCGGGGGAGATGGACGATGGGGCAGCGGATACGAGATACTGGGAGGACGTGGCTGGGCTGGTGGCCCTCTGGGCTGAGGGGATGGAAGGCCTCACTTTGGGGTTGAGGGATGCATTGGCTTTTGCAGCGCAGGAAGTCGAGGAGCTTGTAAGGCACCCGACGAGCCCTTTTCCTCGCTCGTCGCACACCGAAGGCCAAGGCCAAGGTGCCGAAGGCCTAGGCACAGGCGTAGGGGGGCGAAGTTTTGCACCTGGGCAGACGGCGACGGCTAGGTTTTTGGATCGGACGAATAGGGTGTTAGACGCTCTGGAGCAGGCGGGGGACGTGGTTCGGGGGAGCACGCATGCGCTTCGAGGGTGGACGCTTGCTCGTGGTTTGGGGAGGTCGAGAGCGAGAGTTTCCCGAGAGCTGGAGGAGCAGGCACTGGGACAGGGACAGGGACAGGAAGAAGGTGTGGGAGCAGTTGAGGGAGTGGGGGACCCGCTGGAGGTCTGGGATGGGATTAGACCGTTGCTTGCTGTTTTGGTTAAGGAGTATGAACGGGGGAGGAGGGAGCTGGTGGAGGTCGTCCAGAAGCCGGAGCGGGGGGGAGCGCTGAGTGAGCAGGCAGTGGCGGATGGTCAGGAGGGCGTTGGGGAAGGAGAAGCAGAAGCAGAAGCAGAAGAACCCGAGTTGATGAAAGATCATTCTTCTTCCGGCTCTGAAGACCCCTTCCCTCTCTTCTCTCCTTCGCAAAACCCGTTCGACATGAGCACGAGCTCCGCCCACCAGATCCTCGACAGTGTCCTCCCCCCCCTAGTGCCTCTGGCACTCGAAGAACCCTTTGACTTCTCCCAGCTGGGGATCGTTCAGGTTTTCGAGGACGCAGGGGCGGTGGGTGCTTGGAGCAGGGAGAAGTCGACTTTGACGAGGGAGGAGAGGATCGAGAGGTTGAAGGCTGAGCGTGAGCGTGCGGGGGGGAGGACTATGCGATGTTCTGTGTCGGTGTCGGGCTCGGTTGAGGGTTCGGGTTCGAATTTGGGTGGTGGGCCGGTTTCCCCCAGAGCGAGAGGAAGAGGAATGGGCATGGGCATGGGAATAGGGCCGCCCGGGGAAGTCGTCCAGGAACTGAAAGACGTCATACAACGTGTAGGCCAGCGAAGGCTCGCGCTCGTCGACCACCAGCAGCAGCAGAACCAGCAGCAACAACAACAACCTCTGCATCAGGCGAGCGCGCGACGCACTTCCACTTCTATGGCTGGGACGAGCCCGTGGGGCAAGAGCCTGGCCAGCGGGGGGACTGCTCCTGTTACACCGCCTTTCTCACCTCTTGGCAGGGGTGCGGTGCTCGAGACTGCTGATGAGGAATGAACTGCTGATTGACGACTAACTAGGGGAAGGACGTGCAGTCTTTCTCCGACGGCAAGGTCTATGATCATGATCCATCATCCTACGACTATCGACTATCTATCGAAGAGTGCCTCTCTTGTAACGAGAACGACCATTCTGGAGGGTGCAAGTTACCCTTATCTTCATACCACATCCTGTCCTGTCCTGTCCTGGGATTCGCTTTCTTGCTTCGCTAAGTACATTATCCCCTCCCGTGATACCTACTCCTCTCCCCTTGGTCCTTTGTCCTTGGTTCTTCGGGCTCTTCCATGTCTCGGGCCGGACGACATCGTGTATCCCTATCCCTATTCCCCGCCTTCTCTTGCTCATCTCATCTCTCTCGCGCACCCGCCTCCCCTCTCTATCTTATTTAACCAAGAAATCACGAAAACATCATGATTTGACCACTCGACTCCCTTTTATTAATGTAGTCGAGCCAGGTTGTGCCGTTCGTTACCCGTATCCGTCACTCTCATGTTATTGTTATCACTTTTTCTTAATTACCCGGTAGACTAGGAGTATCTTACCTGTTACCTACTGTCTGTGACAGTAATAGATTTTCTGTTGAACATGTTGCACGTTGCGTCCCTTTTGTCCGCGAGTGGGGAGTTGAGTGTACGGTTTGTACACGAGATGCTGTACGACAAGATGGTCGGCTTCTGAGTTCGGCGGTGTATGCCAGTGACGACTCAGTACAGTATCACTACCGGTTGAATCTTGCTTTTCAGCGGTTTGTTCCCACTCCCAAAGCGTTACAACGGCGTCAGCCCGAACAACACGTAGCACCTAACCCAAAAAGACAATTAACCCTAATCCTTAGCGTTCCACCTCGTCCTTACTTTCTGCCTTCCCTCTCTCATGATTGGTGCAGCTCAAGAGTGCTCAACATCGACTATGTCATGATCAGCGCAGGCCGTTTCAAGCCAACCAGGACTCTGTGCTTCACCTGCATTCGTTGTACTGCAAAGTCCAGGGAGTAAATGAAAGTATCAGATGACTGAGATGTTCCAGGTGCAGGCAGAACATGCAGGTTCCAACAATCATAGGAGGGCGTAAGCATACGGGAATCAAATTACATGAACGACGCTCTACACTCTCGCTGTGGTGTAGAGGAAGGGAGTCGTTCATCAGCCCAGCCATCCCGAGCAGCAAGTCTCTGCATTTCTGCCTCCCTCTTCCCTTTCTCCTAGTCAGGTTGCCACGTTTTGACATACTGCTGCTGGTACATATATCGAAGGGTTTTTCCCAACAGCCTGACTGTCGGTATTAACCGCCACGGTCCCATGTCGCGTTATGGTAACTGTTCGAAACATGAAATTGTTTGGCGTTTGATCGCAAAACATCGGCACGGTCGACATTTTCACATGGAACTTCGGTTTCGATTCCAAGACAACGCACGGCTCTAGGACTTTGTCACCGAGTTTCGGTTCTAAGACACTGTCGTCGAAAGCCTGGCGGTCTATAACATCGAGTCAGACGTGGTCGCAAATCAATTGACAGGAACCAACCGTCCGACACCATTCGTCATCTCTGAGATAAAACTTCAGTCACCATTTGAGGACGGTCATATCAACGGTGGACGAGCTACAGCATACAAACAAGTTATCAGCGCCCTTATCGTTCCTTCAGATAGTAAAACTTAATTACACTGGAATTGGAGACACGACACGCCGAATGACCCGGGCGGGTTGTTTGATCATCAATAATGATACCGACGGCTTGAATGGTTCTATTCGCAAGCAAAAGGCCAACTCAATACCAGAATCGACTCTGTCATAGAAGTTATGTGATGGGAAAATCCACTCCGATCGGGTTGGCAAAGAGCAGTGGAAAGACCGGGAAGCGGTGTGTCCTCACAACATCCTTGACGCCGCCTCTTCATTCTCTAATGAACTCTGCCCTACCTTCTTCACATAGATCAAAAGAATACCCCCGGTTCGCGTTCTACAAACCTCTCACACGCCCGCCAGTCTTCCCTTTTCTTGGCCGCGCTCCAAAGCCATCCATCTAGACCCACAGCCGTGGCTCCGCCGCTTCCAGCTCCGTTCAGGTCCAGCTTGAGCACATGTGCACGGGAAGCGAAGGCATCGAGTGCTGTGATGCTGGCTGCACGGAGGCTTGCGACTTGGGAGGGAGTAAGGGTTGGTCCTGGCTTCGGCGCAAGGGAAGACTCCTCTTCCGCCCTCCCTCGGTCGTCCGATGCAGGCAATTCCAGCAGTGTCGCCGAGTCGATCTCTCCGAAAGCAGTTCTCAACCTTGCGTCCCTCGCCTCAGAAAGCGAGATCACGCCCAGGTGAACGAGCATCGACGGCAAGACGTTGTCTACAAACGCAGGAAGCTCTTCCGTCCGTGGAAGAGGGATGGGGGCTAGGTGAGAGGCGCGAGAAGCGGAGGCTGAGAGTATGGAGGAGAAAGAGCG